CCCCAAAACCCCAAAACCCCAAAACCCCATGACTCACAAACCGATTGAAATAATAATAAATAAAAATGGATGAAACCAACTATATGAACGAACAAAGAGAGGAAAACTCAATGGATTCCGATCCAGAGGTAATATTACCCCATTGTTCCACAACTACTCTGACTAAACTCATGACACTTTATAGGAAGAAGAAATATTCCTCACAATGGCTAAAGTTCAGAGTAATAAAAAGAAGGAAGAAACATCGAAGAAGTCTGATGATTTGCAATTAGTTAAGTATGAAGAAAAGGAAAATGTTGAAACCACTACACTAGCCATTAAAGATGGTTCGATGCCAGGCATAGTTAATAATAAAAACAATAACCAATTGGTAGTACATGAACCTAAGAGTATGTGATTGTTGGGGTTTACCAACATTTTATGAATTATAGAAATTTAATATGAATTTTAGCTAAATAAATCAAAGAAGCTCGATAATTCCCTAGAAATTGAGATAAAATAGGAGGAATAAAGAGTTTAAAGAGAGAATGCTCAAAAGAAAATTAGATTTAATCAATTATCTCCCTGAAAATCCTGCTAAATATTATAAGGGGCTTCCTTTCATGCCTGGGTTAGACTTTTACAGAGCACTTGGTGATACAAAGTTCAACCTCGATAATCTAGGAACTTGTATTCCAGATACAATGATATCGATGGGCAAATTAACTTGGCTGCAGTGGGCTCCGGGACCTAAAGAAAATACAGGAACCAATAAAAGAAGAGACAATGACTTTGTACTCTTAAATTATTCAGAACATCTGAAAAACGTTGAAATGTCATTGTATGGAAGAAACCCATCTGAGGAGGACAAACCAGTGGTGGTAGAAAAGAAACTTAACGATTCTTACTTCAGTGTGATTGAGCGCACTCTTAACTGGAATACCTTGATAAATATTCTAAACACAGCTGTGAGTGTGAATTCAATTATCCAGAGATTCAACTACTCTCGTTCTAAAAGCTCAATTTTGAGAATTTGAGTGAACTCAGGTTCTGATGAGAATGTCAACAAGAATCAAGGTGTGATGATTGCCAACAAATAAAGGGTTAGTAATCAAAGAATACGACCACAGAACTTATGAAATCTTTGATCTTAAGGGTAACCATTTCACCTAAAAATTGTAGGCAAAGTTATTAGAGAGTATGAGAACAGAGCTATAAGAATAATGACAACACTTGAGAAAGCATTTAACATTAAAATGAAACAGATAGTTTGTGATTTTCAAAAAGATTTCAAAAACAGAGTCTGGTTTATAGGCATTCATAGCTATCTTATCGAAACTAACATGAAGCTTTATAAACCAATGATTAAAGAGAAAGGTGAAGAAGTAAATACGAAAGGAAATACCAAAATATTCGGTTTGAAACGATGCAGGATGTGAAAAATAAAATATTCCCAAGACCAAATCAACAAACTGATAACAACTAAGATGATGTATGAACTCAAGACTCATTTGTACAAAAGAGGAATTTTCAAGTTTGGTCACCTTGAAGTTTATAAAGACTCCATAGAAACTTGTAAAGTCTGTAACTTCTGATATATGCTAGTTGTTGCTGAGCACGAACTAATTGAGATTGAGAAGCTCTATGCTATAGCTCAGGGAATTCCAATGGATGATAGGTCTAAAATTATATCCAAAATCTCTCTTAAAAATGAGAACAAGATATCTTCAGACAATTTTAAAAATAAACTCCAACAATGGAGGATAATGTTTTACTGCAAACAATTCTTTGACATTGATGTTGAAGAGCTCAAGAAAGTGTGCAAAGGTATGCTTTTTGTTCTTTAAGTGTTAAAGTTAACTAATTACTTAATATCTAGGAACAAAGAATTTATCGAATCTTTATCTACAGATCAGAATTTTTGATTTCATAACCCCAATGAAGCTTAACGACTTTAATAATGATGAGAAAGGAGGAGTTTTTGAAATAAACAGAATGAGAGTACACTACTTTTTCACTGATACAAAGGACGTAATGAAGAGCTTCTTTAACAATACAGAGATTGAGCTGAGAATTACTGTTGGAATCAACTGGAATAAACCCATTGCAATTGCTTCTTCCTTTGCTCTCCAGTATTTCAAACTTAAAAATCCTGAAGAAGTAAAAGAAGAAGATAGTCAGCTCTTGGTACAAAGACAGGGGCTTCTACTCCATTTCTTTGGACCTAAAGTGTCCTCTGAAGATCGTCGATCTAAAGGTTTCAGTTCTAATTTCCAAATGCAGATGACAGTTGGGATAAAGGAAGATCTCAAGATCAAAACTGAGAATATAATGTTATACAGATTTAATGATGTATTCTTTCCTGATAATTCATACTATAATTCTGACCCACTTCCAGTAGAATGGATAGAAGTATTTCAAGAGAATAACTACATGGACAACAAAAACAAAGAGACTTGTAAAAAGAAATAAGAGAGGAACCCTTTTAGACAAACCTTCTGATTCCAAAGGAAAGAACCTTGATACTTCAGATGAGTTAAGTCTTAATGGATCAAAGCATAATTCTATCAAAAAGACTCTTAAAATATATTCTGCAATCTCAAATGTCAACAAAGATTTACTCAAAGATGATATTAGTGGAATTGAAGAAGAGAAACTTTCTTCAACACAAGATAATTTCATGCTGGCTATTGAGCCAGAAAAACCTACTAAGAAACTTAAAGAACCCTCAAAGATTGAACCAATAGAGGAAGAGCAGGAGTCCCAAATTTCTGATGATCAGAAGTTGGCCAAAGTTCTAGCCACAGTTGAGGAAGATGAAAAATAACTTGAATGAGAAATTACGTGTACTGAACAAAAGAGAGAAAATGATAACACAACTTCAAAGCAGTGTTTCCAAGAACTCTTACAGAAAATGAGAAAAACAAGCTGCTCAGTTTAAAGAAGAAAATACAAAAGAACTAGAAGGATTTGCATACAACAAGAATAAAAGCATAAAAACAAGGATCCAAATGTACAAAAGTTATAAGAATCTAAAGAATGGCAAAATCAGGCTTGGAGTACTAATTTATTGTCTCATTTTAATAGAGAGAAAAATCCTCAAATGCATCAGAATCAGTCTCCCAAAATATGTCCCATAGATCTAGGTCTAAGAAACTTAGTGATAATTCTATTATGAAATCAGCTAGATCAGTCAAAAGTTATCAGAAAAACCGCCATGAGTCTTCCAAATTCAATGAAATGAAAGAGAGAGGACTAGTCTCGGAGGAATATGATTCAGAATTTAACAATTCTGTGAGCTCTGTTAGAGTATAAACTTTACCAATAATTTATAGATGGAAGAACAGAATAAGAAAATGGTAGATAAAATTATTAAAAACGAAATGAAGAAGAAAAAGAAAGGCAAACCTCCAATCTCTAAAAATCGGATAGCAAGGAACAGAATTCCAAAATCCAACAAAACTGAAATCCTTCCAAAAGGACGTATGAGCAGCGAACCTCGTCTCAGACTCCAAAATGGTGCTCGTCTATATCCTCAAAATAATTTGGTTATCCTTGGAGATCACTATACAATGGATAAGAGAAAGAATCGGAAGAAAAAGAAGAATCCTGCAAAGGAATACCTAAAAATGAAAGGACATGAAAGCCTCCCTGTAGACCTAAGGAAGGCGCTTAATAATAAAGAAAAACTGAATCAAGTGCATCTAGTAGATATCTATGGAGTAAGCGGAGAGAAGGACATTCAGGTTCAAAAAAGGCACCTGAATCAACTCAGGTCTCGGTCAGAATCAGTTGTCAAAAAGAGACAAATAATTTTATAAACATTGAAAAGCATTAATTCTGGAATATTCAATCTTTCTAAAATTTTGGGGTTTTGGGGTTTTGGGGTTTTGGGGTTTTGGGG